CTTTATTTGGATTTCACATGCTGCTTTCTGTTCTGAAAAAAAAAAATGCTGGATTTTAAACAGGCTTTGTTTATTTTAGAAATGTCTTTTTGTTAATTGCTACACTTGGCTCTTTTGACTTTCCTTTCATCTGTGATCATTAAGAGTTTCTTGTGTATCACGAGAGCTACCAGCCTTCCAACAAGACTCTTGTAGAAAAGTAGCTGTTAGGGTTGCTGAAGTAGAGAAGAGAGAAAAGGAAAAATCTAGTCAGGATTATACAGCAGGCACGTTGTCTTCCCTGTCTATTTGTATCATTCAAAGGTTTTATTAATCTCTTTAGGATATTCTGTGCAAAATCCCCGAACAGCATAAAACCACAGGAGTCTTAATAAAAACAAGATTTATTAAGAAAGACAGAGCACTGGAGAAAAGGACTGTGTAACAGGTCTAACTGAAAAGTTGCTACAGCTTCCCTTGATTGGTCCCCTTCATGTCATTACAGCAAGAAAACTATCTTACATACCTATAAATTTCATCCTCAGATTGAGCTTACCTGTCTCCCCACTGACTGACTTTGGCAAGTAGCAAACCTGGAACAGTTTCGGGTATCAAATGCCTTCCTCCAAGGGTGCTGTTGCTGTGCCCGTACAGCTGTGTTTCCTCGTCCTCCTGTGCCACGGAGGTGTTTGCTAGCACAGCCAGGGCACCGACACCTCCTCATCAGCCCTGCCGGGCAGCAGCGACGCAGAACGAGAGCCACGGAGAAGAAGCGCCACCCTCATCTGGCCACAGCCCGGCCTGGCAGCATCGCAGGCCTCCAGAGATCAGAAACTTGGGTATCTGAGGTGCTGCCACAGGTGTTAAGTGGTCCCAAGTAGTAGTATTTGCTGGCAGCTCAACTCTTTGGTTCCTTATTTTCTGCCGAGCTTTACGTTCTTTTCAAGGTGTGTACAAAAGTTATTTCTCACCCTTCATCCTTCTATTGAAAAAGCAGATCATATTTAAAAGTCTGCCTGCCCTTTCTCCTAAGTTATTGACCATGACTTTACATACTAAATTGCACTGACTAGAAATGTTTGCTTGAATATAATTCATGGATAGAGATTAAAGAGACGGAACTTACTGGTAGTTCTCAATAAATGATGCAAATTTGGGCATTTCTCAGTTTCTGAGAGTTTAGTTTTGAAAAGATGGCATTCTGTCCAATAGTCACTATACATATGAACAGTGACCATATTAAAAAAGAAAAAAAAGTAACAAAACTTACACTTTCTCCAAGAGACTTCCCTAGTGAATCTTGCAAGCATTGGGAAGAAACTAAACGGCATCATTCTCCATCACATTAGCTGGATGACATTAGCCATTGCACATGAATGATACACACTCATAGTATCTTAAGAGTAGTGATTTCTCACTGGAGACGATGCCCAGCTGAGCTGGTAATGAGAGTAAGGAAGAAATAGAACATGCTCTGTGGAAATCTGCTCTCTCCTGAGCTCAGGAGAGAATTGTCAGGGAATTGTCACATTTGGGCATCTCTTCATGTTTGTAGCAAAAAGGGAAGTCCCAGGGATCTTACTGTTTTAATTCTAGAGCTTCTTAATGAAATGGTAGAGGGAAAAAAAGCTTTTCTTATGTATATCGACAGATTTAAAAAATCAAGCCTTGAAGTAGACACTTGGAGTTGATATTGTACTAAGGATTGAATTTAGCAAAAGTCTAAATGACTGAAAGTGTTTACTGTTACAGTAAACATTTTTAGGCAACTAATTGAAAAGCTGTGGGTCCTAGATTGTGCCTTTACAAGGAACTTCCAAATGTTTCAGGAGCAGTTTCAGTGTGTGTAACACGTTTCAGGCCATGCCTTGCCTTGTGTGCCGTCATGGGTTTTCTTATGCTATCTGGTTTCATTGTGTTGCTTTGTCTTTATAAACACTCCTAAACTACCTGTATTACCTCTTCAGTACACATTTCTTAGTGTTATTTCATTATATTTCAGTATAATCTTCATTATATTTCAATACATTTAGTTATTTTAAAGCTTCAGTGCTTTCCAGGAAGATAGAGAAGATATACAAGTAAATATATGCAACAACAAAGGTATTTACACATAAAATAAGTTACTTTTATAGATGGTCACAGAATTGTCCAGTAAATCTCAGTCAGAATGGTTGTGGGTTTTAGTTAAATCTGGTAAGGCTGGATGCTTTACACACACAGTTTAACAGCTTTACACACAGTTTTCTACTGCTTTCTCTGTATTGTAGAGGTCACTAATGACTCATTATCTATTGCTAATCTCTTGAGAATATTGGTTTAATTATATAGGAATCATAAGTAGAAGATACAGTAACTTATTTACAATGCAGGTAGTAGTATCCTTGATGTATTATGGCTTTAAAGATTCTTTTTTCTTTTTTTCTTTTTTTTGGTATCTTTTAATTGCTAAGTATGCCTGGTAAAATATGAGTTATTGTATTATTGCCTGTGATAAAAAGTATACTATTGTGAGCCTCATAGTCTGCAGGTGTAACAGATGTAAGGCAAGATTAATAGGACAAACAATAACTAAACCACAGACAGCCATCTCAAAAAAAAAAAAAAAAAAAGAGAAAAGAAAGGTTTATCTTGTCCAATGTGATTATTAAGGGTCTTTAATTCTCTACAAATATTTGTAAAAGCAATAAAAATATGTTAGTTTGAAAGGCAGCATTTCAATACAGACCATTACTTTAAGGAATTAAGATACCTTTTTATGAATGTAAAAGCTGACTGATGTCCTGCCATATGGCAGCATGGTTCATAGGCTGTAGGGTCCTTGGTTTATAGATGCTGTGAGCTAAATGCTGCTGGAAAAAACAGGAGAACAGTTAGTACGTATGCATTTACAACAGTATGAATTGCTTACTCCCTTTAGGACAAGAAGGTTCAAATAATTAACGTTAATATTATGGTTGCAAAAGGAAGTCCAGTTGTTCTTCTGCAGACTACATCTGTGAAACATGCTACCTCTGGGGACCGAGATTTAATTTTCCCAGGAGAAAATATAAAAGCAGGAGAAAAAAAAGAATGACTTCTGCTTGAGCAGAATAAACCTGCATCTACAAACGATTAACACTGCATAATGAAGTAGTAAAGAAGCAAAAGAGATTTCTAATAAAAGACTAATAACAAATCCCATTATGCCGTGGTGTATTTTCCCCCTTGAAGTGTATTAGAGTTTTAGTAAGGCTTCTGAATGAGATTTTTTCAGTTGCAAGCGAAGTCAGCTCCAGTGCTTCAAGCTTTGCTGAGCTTTGTCTCCTAACAGTTTGTATAACATGCAAGTTGTGGCTTTACAGGTGGGAGGGGTTGTTAATGCAAGTAATAGGCTTCCCGCAGCGAGGCAGTCGTGTTTGTGTCACCACAGGATAATACTCTCCTGTCGGCAAGGCACCGTAGGGTAATGTGCCACTATACGTTAAAACACCATACGCAGAAGGTGGAATTTTCTAACCTTTATAATTATGATGCTACAGTAAAACGTTGCAAACCTTGGAAAAATTAACTTTTGATCTCAGAACGTGGGGATAAGAAGATATTTTGAAATCACTTATTTTTGCTTTTAAACTGGGACACGTGGCAGGGAAAAATCGTCTGTGCAGTGGTCTTTAAATCTGTAATATGGACTTCTTGTGGGTTATACAGTTCCAGTGGTGGGTGGATAGAGCTTTAAGTGAGCCAAACTTTGACTGGTAAAATGATATCTTTGAATTTCTTTTATAGAGATAATCCTGCTGCACAAATTGCTACTGTTTTAAAAAGGTGTGTGTTGGAATTCATTTGTGCAGAAATGGACTTTTAGTGCTAGAGTCAATAAAAAAAAAGTATACTGAGTTCTTGTACAAAAGTGGTTACATGTGAATTCTTGGAAGTGAAACTATTCTTGATGAAATTTCTGGTTGCATTCTTAGATATTTTTGTAACTTTTAACTCTGAGTTTTAAAGAACAACTTAATTTCCTTAGCAGAAATTTGCAATCAATCTTTTCTTGCCACTGAATAAAAAGATTCCACAGGGGTAGTAATTTGCATATCCCAGCTAAAAATATAATTCATTATTTTGTAATCCATTTTGTTATAACTATTTTGTGATTAACATTGCTAACTGTAGTTTAGCATTTTCAAATGTAATATTAGATAGTCTTGCTACCTTACAAGGTACAAAGTTAGTGGTAGTGTTCTGGATTAGGAAAAGGGAAATAACTTTAAGTCAGGAGTTAAACCATAACCAATATAAGAGCTGGAACTGGAATTTAGAAATCTTGAGAAATATTTTTTTCCTTTTACTGTGTCCCAGGCTTGTAATCTCAAACAAATATTGCATATAATAAGACAAATTTTCAATGTTTTTGCTAAGTATAAAAACAGCTTGTACCTGAACAAAAATTCTACATAACAGATCATTACTAAATCTGATAAAACTTTAAATTACACTTAATCAAAACGGCATTCATAGCGTATTTTATATGGAGCTGCAAACGTTCTCATCAGTAAAGGGAAGAAGCCTTTTTAAAGTAGCTGTGAGCCATCCCATTTTGACGGCTGGCTGGTATATGTCTCCAAACTGGCTTTCATTTGCCTGGGCTTTTCCAGGGTTCCCATAAAGCCCTGGCTTCATCCCGTTTGTTCTTCCAGGCTGCTCTCACATGACATCTGCCGCCTGCATCCTAGAGCAATAGCACATTAAATGCTTGAGAAGGTGGCATGCAGGACAGAGCCTGTTTGGCCCCGTGATGTTCCCCCACCTAATGATGTCGGTCAGTTAAGGCCTCCAGAGCCTCCAACGTATCCCTTCCTCTCATCTACATAATATTTGTACAAATTCAGCTAGAGGAGTGGTTATCGTAGACTTTCACACTTCGTAGCAATTTCCAGTAAACTTGCTTGGATTGCAGTTGATCCTGTGATATGTGTTTTGCCATTATTATATTTGGAAAAATAAATAAATGAAAGTCCTGTTTTTGTTTTGTTTTCCAGGCGCTGGGTAAGGCTCCTGTTTGGGCGAGAATTCCCACTTCAGGACCTGCTAGTTGTATGGGATGCTTTATTTGCTGACAGTATCACCCTGAACTTAGTTGACTACATTTTTGTAGCCATGTTGTTATATATTAGGGATGCCTGTAAGTATTGACTTTCTTACCATCTTTTTAAAAAAAATACAAGCCTATTTTCAAAGAAAAAGGAGGGCCTAAGAAATTGTAAATTTTATTGTGGATTTTCTAAGATACTGAAAATCAAATGCCATGAGAGGAGCTATTCATTATTGGACCTGGTCTGCGATATTTATGAAACAAATTCTGTGTTGGAGTTAGTTAAACTCAGGTTTGATTTCTTAGTAGTTCTGTGTTTCTGTATGGAGTTGCAGATTATGTATGCGGTTGGTGATACAGGTATGTACAGAGCTCCATCTTCTGACAAAGACGATGAATTGAGTGAAGTCCATCTTCAACAGTGGGAGTATTTTTTGTGCTGTTTTGATGTGAAAAATGTTAGAATGCACAAGACAGACTCATAATTTTCCAAGATACATCTTTGTGGATATGTGCATGCACAGATGAGTAGCAAATATAAAGTATATATTTATTCTGTGCAAGAGGGATATCTCTAAAAAAATTATTTTATTTTTTTTAGTACACCTGAAATTTGTGCAAAGGTGAATTCTTATGGGCTAATGACAGAAAAGTAACGGTAATTTGAGAGAAATAAGAAATCACACAGACACACAAAACTTAGCATATATAATTATGAATGGGATGGAAAAGATATGTAATGGTTAATTAAGAAGCATTGATTTCTGGACCAGCATATTTTTCAAATAATTCTGTATGCAACAAGCTTGCCACAAAAGCAAGTGTGCCTTTTGCAACAAGATGTGTGTCTGTCATTAAACGTATGAATTCCGTAGCATGCTGTTCAGAGTTAATTTTATACAATCTGTAAGCTTTAGCTTATAACAGGGTCACATATTTGACACAATTTTGTGTTCTAGGACACGTGAAGTTTTCATCTATGGTTCTTATTTTAGGAACCAACCTTGAAAACATACCACGCACGTACTTCGCACATATTATAATTCTCCTGCCTACCATAGAACTTCATGTGTTTTTTAAATTACTTTTTAATAAACCTATAGCATATAGAGACCTTGCATTTCTTTCAAATAAGTGGATATTTAATTCAGTTTAGAGATTTCAAAGTAAAGTTTCCTTTTCAGGATAATCTGGTTCAAAATTGTCATGTTCTGTAATCTCAATCTGTTTTATTTATGTGCACTAAGATGAAATATTTTTAAAGTTTTGGTATAGATATGTAGTAGAGATTAATGTAAAATATTTCTTAACATGATAATTTTTTAATTATCTTTCCCATTTAAAGAAGGTGCTTTAGAAATGTGTTTGTAAGCATATAATTGTACCTCTCTCACCTGATGGAGAGAAGTTTGTTTTGGGGTTGTTTCATTTTGTTCTATGGTGCTCACATACAAGTATCAGTAACTAAAAATGTGAGCAAAAAATATGTTGTAGGCATCTGTATGAAATCAGTCTCCTTTTTCCCTCTAAACTCCCAGGCTTAGTGAATAAAATAGGAATAAAAATAAATAAAATAGGAGTTTTAGAGTGGAGAACGTTTGCTCAAGTAAGATGCACAGCTTGTCTGGACAGCTACTTCTTCATATATATGACATTTCTGTAACTTTTTCTTCCACAGCTAGACATAATTAGTTACTCTAAACTTAACAGGAAGGTGAAACAAAATTCCCAATCACAGATACTGCAGAGTTGACAGTGCTGTCAAACTTGTGCTTGGACTATAGAAATTTTTACATTTCTTGATTTGAGAAAAGAAATCTTTTCTTACATATCTATTACAGACATTTTTCTCCTGTTTTTATATTGTTGGTAATGTTGAAATTTAATTAGAAACAAAAAAGTCATCCAACAGCCTAATGAGCAGTAAATTCTTTTGCATTATTTTTAAAAGGTTTTCAAATAAAATAAGTTTCTAAAGACTTCTCGTTATTCAATGATAGGAAATGCTAACTCAGAACACTGAATGAGTTTAATCATCTGTAAATAAACCATCTGGAAAGTTTCAGTTTAAAACCTTTGAGTTTAAAAACTTTGGTACAGAGGGAATAATAATAGAATTCCTAAGATAGTATGTTATAAAAATGTCAGACATAAGAAATTATAATAATGTAATACTGAAAGCATTTGAGAGTTTATAAGAGAGAGAGATTATTTTTATTCTGACATGTTTGGGATGAAGATTCCTTGGTTTGGAATTGCTGGCTTTTTTGTGTGCTTTGTTATCTTCTTCTCAGGGGCATGATTTTAAGAAAAACATTATTTCAGCTCTATTTTTCACTTCATTTTTATTTTATTTTTTAAATTTTCTATTGCTCAAGATACAAGTTATTTAATGGTGAAGGGAACATTTAAGTTGTTAGGTACTGTATGCACAAAAAAACATAGTTGAAACAACCCATTTATTTTAGACACTGCAAAACAAACCTAGGAGGCCTGTCTAGGTCTCATTGCACTAGAAGCTAATAGTGACTGAAGAGTGTTTGAGTGGGTCTATGTAAAGCTTGTACATACACTTGAGTAAGTGCAGTAAGCACTGTTTCCACTGGAAGACTAGCTGTGGCCATTATTAGGATATATTTCTTCATACATAAAGGTCCTCTGAACATTTTGGGGAATATAGAGGAGTCACAGTACCTGCTCAGAAGAGCTGATTTATATTTTTGCTGCATACAGTGTGCTTAACTGAGTGCCTGCACTGCAATGCATAAAGCTGAGGGGCAAATAGTCCCAATGCTCCCGGGTACAGAATTGGCCATGTCACATATCATGCACTGAAGAAGTGACTGGCAGCAGGAAAGGAGGGCTTGACTGGGGAGTGGCACAGTTAGTTTTGCAAGTTAGATTTTTGCAAAGTGATACACAGAGGAGAAGGGCAGGTTCCCAAGCAGCAAGCTGATTACCAGCTAGCTGACTACAGCGTTAGATAATTCACCACTGAACTTGGGCAGCATCCAATGACTGCTGACACTGGAGAAATTTGTAACACACAGAATCTCCTTATAGGAACTTTATCCTACAGTTGATTCTAAGAAATCCTTTTAACACCAACATGCACATTCCAGAAAGGCATGTTTTGTTTTGTTTTTCACCACCATTTTCTGGATCATTTTTAAGGCTGCTCAGCTGTATAATATCATGCATTTTATCCTAAAGAGACGAGAAAAGCTTACTCTTAAGACAAGATACTCAGAAGCATTTCTGCAGCTTAATTCCTCTAACCCCAAAGTCCACAGCGAATAGGGCACTGGAAGAATGTTCTTTTAGATAAAGATTTCCACAGAAAAAGAGAAAAATCTAAAAATGAAATGAATATAAAGGTATGCCTCGTTAAAATTAGCATGACTAGAGATGTATTTTTTTATACTCGACCTTCTTCTAATGGTTGCACTTTAACATATAACTTACAGGGAGCAGAGGTTGCATGGGTCATTACCCAACTTTTTTTTTTTGGTCCAGTTACTTAGTTGTGTCAGTATTATACATTTTAAAAAATGATTTTTGACATTTGCCTTTCTCTTTATCTACAAGATAGCAAAGAACTTATCTTCCAGCAGAAATAAGGAATAACTTTAATCCATTTTACATTGCAAATAGAATACATTCTTTATTCAAAAGGGAAATGCGTTGGTCTTAATGCCTATAATTGATAAAAGTATTTACAATTTGTTATCCATTTTCTGTATTTTTATTTGCTTTTGTAAAAAAGGTGTCCTAATCCTATCCACAGTTTGGTATCTTAAATTCAGTTTATGTTTGAGAATTTGATTGGCTCTGTAGTATGTGGGACTCATATTATGCTTGTCTGAAAAAACTCTGACTGAGACTATTGTGCTGTATTCATTATGCCAGCTCTGTGACTTCGGGAGGAAAAAACAGGTACCTGAATATGAACAAGAAAAACAAAGGATGGGAAAAGAACAGGCAGAACAGATAAAGAATGAGTGGGATAAGTGAGTGCTTTACAAATGAAAGCAGATGTATGAAATTACAAGCTGTCGGATCAGCAACGGAAATGATGATGATAAAGTGGTTCACTACACAGATTATAATTATTCATTTTGCCCAGTCCGGCTTTTTTTCCCCACAATCCTCTTGTTGGGAGAAGAAAGGTATAGGAGAATATGAGGTTTATTCACATGAAAGAAAAAAATAAAACACTTCAGTCCCTCTGTCCACAAAAAGATCATCTATTTTGTCGTCCTTCAAAATAATTTTGTTTGTTTGCAAGCATCTTTGTTGGTGCAAAGGACTGATGAATTCAAAGTATTTGTTGATACACCTAAAGCGCTAAGAGTAGTAAGGTTTCTTTATTAGATTTTTTTACAAATGCTATTGTTGAAGGCCATCTTTATGTTGCGCAGTGGAAGCATCCCTAATAGGCAGTGCTTTGACAGCTGTGGCAGATGGATTGCCTGGATTTAGATGGCGCAAAAGAAATGAAGTAGTTTACATAGACCTGCCTGAAAAGATGTCTTTAATAATTGCACTCATAATTAGATTGATTTCAGAAAAAAAAAAAAAAAAAGGAAAGATGACAATGACAAGAGCTGTTGGAGGATTTTTTGTAGTTACATAAATTTGAAAAAATAAAGCTTTAATAAAGTTAATTTTACATTAAGGTATTTAAAATATAAAAGTTGTGAAAGTTCAGCATTTTTCCTTTGCCCTTAATCATTCTTAAATAGATAGAAGTATTGACTGAAGTTATCAGAAAAATGTCTTAGCAAAAGTCTTGAAGGAAAGAGACTTTGATTTTTCTTTTAGATTCTAATTTACAGAAAGGAAACAAAGAGATGTTGCCATGGGTTTATATGTATACGTAGATTCAATATTATCTTCTTTCACTTTTAGCACTGCTCGAGTTCTGGGAGACTGTGCCTAATGTGGAAGAAGGCAGCTGAACCTGAGCTATCATGAATGAATCTACCTAAAAAGATACTGTTTTGGAATACCAGAATACTGTGGTAATATTTCACTATTTCACACTTTTTTCATTCCTGTTTTAGTGATTTCAAGTAATTATCAGACCTGTTTGGGACTTCTGATGCATTATCCACCTATTGAAGATGTTCACTCCCTTATCCTTAGAGCACTTTTTCTCCGAGATCCAAAGGTGAGGTCCTTGCTTTGTAAGTAACACCAATAAAGTAAATAAATCTCTGTAATAACGTTCCAAATGCTGTAAAGTTATGAACTGCCTATGTCCTGGGGACTAAATTGACATTACAAGTTTCCTCTTTTTTGACAAACATTTAAAAAAAAACTTACCAAACAAGAGTAGAATACATGCTTTTTTATTCTTAAAAGTGTATATGCCACCACTGTGCTAAACCTCTCTGGAAGCTCAGGTAACTGCTTGGCGAGTGTTTATGCTCCTTAGTTCTTGCTTGGTTTTTCTGTGCATTAAAAAGTTTATTTTTGAGGGAAACAGTAATATTTTATATAAAGCTCCAGTAAACTGTGTAGCAACTGTTATGCAGTCTCTTCTATAGAAAGCTCTTCGTAAGATTTCTGCAGATTAATCATTGTTAATCCTTAAAGCATTAGTCATATCCAGTACATAATAGTTAAGTGATGGTTTTCAATTATAAGTGAAAATCTACTGTTCCATCCTGAAAAGACTGATGTAAGTAAAATGCAGCTATTCATAAGTTTTATGTTAAATATTACTAACAATGATGCACAATATATATAATGCTAAAAAAACCCATGTGAAACTCCTGCTATTTTAGAGTGTATATATGCGAATTTAATATACAGTGGATATCCACAGTACATTGGATAAAGTGTTTGAGATAAAGCTGTACACATTAACCTGAATCAGTATTCAGAGCTTCGGCAGACAGCAGAATTTGTGCTGTGAGTTTTGAGCTGTCTTTGAGCATGTCCCATTAGTAGGCTGCCAGTGCACAGTCTGATCTCCCTCATCTTTGTGATGCAAGTCACCTTTGAAAGTGAAAAATTCTGCACTTCTGCACTCTGACTGCCTTCTGCAAAATTTCGTTCAATACCAATGTTTACCCTTTATGGTTTAAGAAAAAAAAAAAAAGAAATCTCTTTGTTTCTGTATCAGTTTTGTGCAGAAATTTGCATCCTTACAGCTGCTTTCTTCATTCCTCTCGGGCACAAAGATTTCTTTCATGATGAGTAGTAAAACATATCGTCTTTTCAATGCATAAAAAAGTTTGTAATGTTAGATCTCAGGATTTTTTCTTAGGATTTAGGCAGCAGTCTATGAAATCAAACTACCCGGCTTTTATGTTTATGTACTTTCTTAGCAAAGCAAGATAGGAATATTTTTTAGAAGAAAAGTATAGAGGAAGGGAAAATGTGCAAGATAACAGACTAAATCCAAAACATAATCTGTGGTTTAATGAAAGCATGTGTTAAAAGATAGAATTTAATAATAATTACTAATTTTCCATCTGTCCTCCAAAACATCCTAGGCTGTATACAAGTCATCCTACCAACAGAAGGGGGCAAAAATAAACCACCAAATGACATCCTGTGAAGGAAGTTTGTTCACTCTTCTGTTCAAGTAGCTTTCTTGTGGCCAAGAGAATAAAGCTGTCTGCTCATAAGACCGTAGTGTCCTATTAATTAAAATTCTCAGATGAGAACACCTTGAACACCTTTCTTACAGTATTGTCTAAGTATCTCTCTCTTCAGTCAGGTGAATAAGTACTTAAAGCTCTTTTGTGCAAAGTCTGCTAGTTGTTTTTGTCATTTTAAATATGATTAAAAGAAGAAATTTTCTCCTGGTCTGAAAAAGAGGTGATTTTCATTGTTGTGACTTGGAGTTTTTTTATCTTTCCCTAGGTATGATTCTAAGTTTCATTTGTATGTCTTTAAGCATATATTGGTTTAATCCAACATATTTTTGAAATAGGAGTCCATCTACTGTGGCTCGTTATTCTATGTGATGTAAGACCTTTGTATAAAACCTTTTGAGTCTGACAAAATTTTTCATTTCCTAGAATGAAAGACAATACTCAACAAGATATCCAGGTGTTGTAGGAGTCTAAAATCAGTATAAAGACTATATACCAGTATCAGAAAAAATAAGATACCTTTTTTTTTTTTCAAACTGCATGAAGGTAATACAGTTTGCCTCTGCTTGCTGAGACTGGAAGAGACAAGGAGATTTTAATCAGAAGTGTAACTTGTAATTGACGATTAAAAAATTAGCACTAAAGAATTTTCTTCCTCCTTTGTTGTTTTCCTGTGCATTTCTCCATCACTAGCCTCTGATTCCTAGTGGGACATTAAATTTGCTTCATTGCAACTCAGATCTCTTGGGCCAGAGCTGACCTGTTCTGCATGGCATTTCTTCCAAGACTCTACAAGGTTTTAATGTGTGAAGTCATGGAACTCTTATTCTTTTCTGTGGGAGAATGTTGCATGGTCCAGTAGCTTATTTCATTACTTTTTTGAGCGTAGCAAAAATGATTAGTGTCCATCCAAATTTCTGAGAGATGGTTGCTCTCCACCACTCAGAGCTTGAGTGGTCTTGACCGACAGAAAATGCTGTTTAGAAATCAAGAACAGGAACAAAGAAGAATTGGCCTTTTAAAGCTTTATTAATATACATTTTCTTCCTTATTATTTTTTACAGATAGATAAATGCCAAATAGTCTCACTAGTTTATTGGGTCTAGAAGAAATTAACAATATATTCATAAAACTGGAAGGTTCTTAAAGAACAGTTATGCCATAAATTATGAAATAGTTAAGTTGGACCTAATATGGCCTTTTCTTCTGCAACTTTTGATTTTAGAGATACTCCGAGTTTTCGCTTCTAATATCATCTGTTATTTCTTCTTCTGTTTCCTTGTTCCATAACTGATATCTTCTTTCTTATTTGTTATGTGGAACAATAGGTGGATTAAACTTTGGCTCAGTGAATCTCTCAGTTTTTGTTTGCTGTGTTTCACTGTTATCGCTATGGGAAAGCAGCTCATATGCCAAAAGAAAACTATGCTTAAAGGACAGGTGGATTGTTTTTCCTTCTAGAAGGACAAGCTTTCTGACCTGATTGTAGACTCAAACACAAGCCTTATCATTGTCCAATAATAATATGAAGGGTAACTATTGCTCACCATAAGCTAATGCAGCAGATTTTATTTCACCAGGGTAGATCCCTGGTGCCAGAGAGACATTTCAGATTCCACATCCCTAATATGTGCCCTCAAAGAGAAATGCAGAGCCTTTAATAGCTGAAGGCAAATGAATGCACCTGACTATGAAAGGGTGCTGCAGAAATATTGTTTTTTCAGGTACGAATATGGATCAGCATAGGGCAATTGAATTTAAGCCTTTTCTGAATTTGCCCAGCTCCCATTGTTAGGAAAAATGTAGAATGAAAACCTCAAATTTGAAAAAAAAAAAGTGATGTTATCTTTGCATAGGGAGATACTCTTAAACTGCTTGGGAAAGTATTGGTTTCTTGTTTGTACTCTTCCAACAGATATTTTCTTAAATTATGTGTATAAAAATTGCTTCTCAGCACTTACAATCCTTCTGAATAGAAAGGTAAAGCTTGGTATGAAAGGACAGGGTATCAAAAGTATGAATCTGTGAAATGAGAAGGGAAGGCAGTGATTTTTCTGTATACCCAAATGCACTGATTGTAGGTATGTCTCTGAATTTAATATGCCATGAGTGGCAAATTTTCGTCATTTTTTTACTTATCAAAACCATTGAGCACTGTTAATTTTCAAAGCAAAATCTGTGAAAGGAAGAAGTAGAGATATGGAAGGAGGGCAGTGGAAAAACAGAAAGTGATTAAAAAAACATAGTTCTAACTAAAGTTGTTCAAATAAAAAAAAAATTAAAAAACCCAATTAGAAACAAAAGTCATAGAAAATGTGAACATATTGTGTTCCTTAAATAACCAGATGTTCTTTCCCTCCTGAAGGCAGCCAGGGCTAGGAATAAAAGGTTTAAAACTATTGTTTTAAGTTAACTGTGAATTCTGCAAATCTGTTTTCACCCTTTAGCAAATAAAATTCTAATACAGCAGCATAAGCAAAGTAATTTTCATCTTTGGGTGTTCTTGTCTGTACGTTGTGCGTTGAAGTGTTAACCTTATCTCAATGACTTATTACAAAAACTGAAGCACCACATAGACTATTACTATTTTACACTGCATGCGAAGAACCTAGCGGCCATCCTTTGTCTGCGAGCCTGTTGTATTTATTCTTAGTATTTTTTGCAAAATAAGTTTGCATTGGGGTACTTGCTGAGCAAATTAGTTGGGAATTGAATTCCTTGGAGACAAGAGTGATAATGAACCATCCATTAAAAAGAAAAAGGAAAGAAAGGGTATTTGGTCAATGCAAATTAAGCTTTTTAGTTAAATTAATAATATTCAAGTTATTGCTACTGATGATATTTTTCAGCTCTCTATTTTAAGTTGTCTGATAATATTGAAAATGGCTGTATAATGGTGTTAAGTTGTAACTACATCCATGCTGAAGTATACACAACATTTCAGAGGCACCCCATTAAAGTCAGTCATGACTGAAATTACACAGTTTGCTGTAGGAATTAAGCAACAGTTAAGGCTGTGAGCTATCCTGTATCGATCAGCTGAAGAAATCTGCATCCCAGCTTTCAACACTTCCCACAACATGTGACAAGGGCAGGGAGATTCAGGGAGATTTTGGGCCAAGCAGCTCGTTGTGGGTGTTTGGATCCAAACCACCTCCTGCCAGGGCTGCCTCCTCGTGCACTCACAGCCAGCTTGTCAGGCCCCAAACACTCTTTAGTCACATTTTTCCCCAATGCAGCGGCAGCCCGTGCCTGACCCTCGTCAAGAGAGGGGCCATCGCGGAGCGGCCTTTGCAAGCCGTGCCACGCTGTGCTGCTCTGCGTGGCTGCGTTGCCTTCCTCAGGTGCATGGCTGCATGCAATCTGCCATTAATTGCCTCGCTGTAAGGAGCATGGGGCAGCCAACGAGGCGTTGGGAGGAGCTGCCAGGAGCTCGTTAGCTTGGTCCCACTCAGGGGAGTATTGGGTGAGGTGGTGAGCCCAGTTCTTCAGAGGGGCTAAAGCTGCTGACATCCCTTTCCCCTAATAAGTGTATGGGTTTTGGTTTTTGTTTGTTTGTTTT